GTCCCACCAAAGGGGAGAGCCAGAAGGCGCATCCTGCTCTATCAGATGCCTTGTTCTACACAGGGTGGCATGGGAAAGGCCATTCAGTTGCAGAATAAGCATATGGTATGAAGGAAGGGCACTGGAAAGGGGCAGGAGAGAATACTCTCCAAGCCCTAGATGCCCACAGGACCTCAAAGAGTAGGTCCAGGTTGTTCCCCTCATCCTCTGGGCACAGTGTTAGCTGTCCAAAGGACCTGGGGTATTGGCTCAACTGCAGCTTGCCAGGCAGTTTGCTCACATGCTGAGGATAAATAGGCAGGGTGCTAAGTGCCAAACATGTGGTGAAACCAGGAAAGCTAACCAACAGTTGTTTCCCCACACAGGTCTTGGAAGATGGCTGAGCTGGGGTGGGGTGGGTGTTCCACTGGGACGGCTGCCCTGTCAGGTAGCCAAAGCAACCTCAAGGGGATGGCCCCAGACCATGGGCCTAGGATCACATCTGGGCTGAATCTGACAGCCGTGCTGAGAGTGGGACTGCAGAGGAAGGACAGAGACCCTCTGGCCATGGTTAGAAGCTGGGGAGAGGTGTGGGATCCTTTCCGTAATGCTGCTCCCTCCTTTCTGCAAGGGCATGCATCCTGGAGCCCATTCCCAGCTCCACAATTGGATAGCTGACTACAGCCAAATCCTATTGGCATTCGGAAGGGTCAGGGCCCCGGGGCCTGCTCCTATCCTGCCTCTGAGGTTATGGCCATCTGTGAGAGGGCAGGCCACTGGTCACAAGGGGATCGACCTCCACTCCCACCCCCACCCAGCCTAGAGAGGGACTGGGTCTCAATCCCAGGAGCCATTTGCCACGCCATTCCTGTTCCCTAAGGAACTCAGGCTCTGGCCCTGTCTCCTGCTCCCATTGGGAATGCAGGCTCAGGGAGCCCTAGCAGAGGTGGAGAAAGAATCTAGCTGAATGAGAGACTCCTCTGCCATGGAACAGCACCAAATCCAGGCAAACTGGTGACCCCATTAATGTGCCTCCCCAGGTAGGTGTCCAGCAAACAATGGAAGAGCTTATCCCAGTAGGGACCAGGAAGGGGCGGCTCCCCAAGTACAAGCGTAGAATTCATTGGCATGGAGAAGGACAGGGGAGAACCAGTCAATAAAGCTTGGACAAAAGTCAAGGAAGACCAATACCATTTAACACATATTTATTGAAATCTACTTGATGCAAGGCACTGTGCTAGGTTTGGGAGGGGATTCAACATGAAAGGCCACCCCTGGGCTGATTGCAATGGGCACCGCAAAGCAGACAAGGTAACCAGAGATCGGGAAGGACAAGAAAGGGGCGCCTGCAACCAGAATCTGAACGGGTGGAACACAGCTGCTGTTCTGAGCCACATGGGTGACGCCAAGGGCCAAGCTGAAATAGGCGATTTCTGGTTTTGAAAGCAAACACCCAAATGGACACAATAACTACAGAAAGTAAGTATACTGGTAATAGAAGAGTGATCGGGATCAGCAGATGGTGTAATGGTTATGTTGCTGGACTCCCACATAGTTGACCGTGGTGTGAGTCCTGGGCCCGGCAGCTTAAAACTCATGCTGGGCATGTGTGCGTGCATGCCCCAAATCCCAAAAATGGAGAAGGGATTGAGGCATGGCCATTCCCCCTGGGGGTGATTTTTCACTTTCTGTCTCTGTCTCTCTCTCTCTCTGGCAAGTGCATGTGCCCCATAGCAAAAATCTCTCTTAAAAAAAATAAATAGAAGAGTGAACGATCTGCAACTGGGTAGATCTGCTGGAAATGGTGACACTTCCAAAACAGAACGGGGTGATCTGTGGTTGAACTCCTCTTATGGGCTAAACATGGGTTCAGGAAGGACCATCACCCAGACAGAAAATCACTGGTTACACTCACTGAAGCTACCAGGCAGTCTACCCACTCCTACTGAACAGAGGACAGACAGTATCACATTCAACAGGTGGTCCTGGCAGTCAGGTGGGAGTTGGGCCAGGAATGGCGACTGGGGGAATGTGAGGAAACCCAGCAATGTGTCTCCTCGGGAAGCAGCCAATGGTCAAATGTGATTGGCTCTTGATAAGTTGCAAAAAGCAGAGGGCCCCTCGAGCCGGCTCAAGGGGGCCTATGGTGGGGACACATGGGGACTGATGAGGGCACCAGGAATCTAAGAACACGATGTGGCCAGGCCTCCCCTGGGGTGCTGGGATTGAAACAGCTCTGGGGAACCCAACAGGGGCCCATGGATGTTCACCCTGGTGCTGCCTGTTGGGGCAACTCCTCAAAAGACTGCATGGGTCCCTCTGCCTTCTGGTATCAACTAGAAACTTCTGTTTTCTCTTTCATATTTCACAGACCTGAAGGCCCAGTCCACCAACTCCAGCCAGCTCTGAGGCCTGGTTGCTGCCCTTGGGTTGGGGTTCAGTCTGGTTTAGCTGAAGTGGCCTAGAAGGGAGTGGTAAGTTACATGGCACACAACAAGGCCATGGCCCAGGGTGTGGGCAGGGCAGGTATCACACCACTTCTAGCACAAAATCAAGCACACAGATGCAATACCACGTGAGAAAGATGCCCACTGTGATCAGGTAGGGATTATTCTGGAAATGTAGGCATGGGCCTGACACAACAAACCAACACAGTTAATTGTGTTAAGCAGCAAACTGGTAAACGGTTTCTTTTGAAACTTTCAGCAAGTATTCAAAATCTACTAAAAGCATGGGAAGGTTTCTTTTTTAATAGGGTCAGAAAGGAACACGTTTCCATGGGAGCCAGCATTCCATGAGGCCCAAATGCTCCATTGGACTTGCGATGGGAGTACGAGTGATTTGAAAGGAAAGTGAAATGAGGTAGATGCACGGATGCGTAGACAAGCACACACAGCGGGAAGCTCGGTCACATTCTGCATCTGGCCTAGCAGTATGCCCAGAGAATCCCAGGAAACCCATCCCCAAGTTACTGGAGGCAGAAAAGAAACTTGGCAAAATTACGGGTCACATGTTAAAGCCACAGACTGACTGCACTTGGAGAGAGCACACGTCTCACTACTAACACCATGAAAAGTTGTTTTGTCAATAGTGGCGAAGACATGGTCTTTAGTGTTACCTCTTAAAGAGGATTTCTTTGAGATAAATTACAGAACTGAAAATAAAAAAAAGTGAAGGCGGACAGGAAGGGACATCTTGGCTGGGAGCAGCCACAATTATGCGACGTCCCCGGTTAATGCTGTACCTCAACTGCAAAAGCCCACGGGTTACAAGTCACAGGGCAAGAGCTGGCACACTGCCTTTAGGTAAAGGTGCCAGACTCACCCTGGTGGATGGCAACATTCCTTACCAAATGACAACTGTACACAACACATCCCACCAGCTGGGGAAGAAAACTGATGGGAGAGGAAAGCAAGGACTTCAGACACCCACAAGCGCTGCGAGAACCGAGCCCCATGGGGCAAAAGGAACCGCT